ATCGCTCAATGTCAACGCTGAAAGCGGCGAGGCAAGATTTCGAGGGAAAAGAGAACGCAATCAGCCCTGCTCAAGCAGCTGGGACAGCTACACCGAGGAAAGTGAGTCCACCCCTACAGACGAACAAAGCGCTACCGAGTCCGCCTATGAACACAGAAGAAGAGATGCGCACACGGGAGAAGGTCATGGGCAGTACTCCCCAGCAGGAGTGGAGCATGTACTCTGCTCCTAACACTCAAGAGTCACCACGAAGTGTCAGCGACGCGGACAGAAGGGAAGGACGCGTGTGGCTCGACCAAGAAATGTCTCAATCCGACCTAGCAAAGCCAGCATCGACATCAACGCCGAGGACAAAGAGCCATTCCCGATTACATTCTGCGCCCGTGTCATCAGCGACCCCGTACTATCCCTACCAAGGATTCGACACCCAGGCATTGTCGTCTGTAGATGACGCATCCAACTCGCGAACAGCCAATACCCTGCACCACACATCAACAGCGGAACAAGACATCCAACCAACGCCTCCTCTAAAAGACAGCCCTCGCTCGAAAGCATCAGCAAAAGCAAAACCCCCCACCTCCTCTTCCTCCCTCACCTCCTCCTCACCCAGAGAATCCAAATCCCGCGACCCTACTACCACCGCTACTAGCCCACAGGACAATAACGCAAACAAACAGCCCAAGAGAAACAAAGGCAAAGCAGCGGCGGCTCAAGGCGGCGGCGGCGGCTGGGCACCACCGCCCAACACACACCAGCAGCAGAAACAACAGCAGCAGCCAGGAGATGAAGGCCGCGGCCCTGTACAAATGAGCCGGACGCAAAGGGACAAGGATAGGAAGAAGCGGAGTAGAGCGAAAGTGCTGATTGAGCATGTTGATATCATTAGAGATGAGTTTTGGGAGAGGAGGCCGTGGATTTTGAGTGGGAAGACTGGGTGAGTTGTTAATGAAGGGATGGATGAATGGGAGGGTGTGTGAGTGGTGCCTGGGAATGGATTTGGAAGGGTCGGTCGAGTGGTGGGATTTTGACGTGTTGCATTTGATTACGACGCATTAAGTGAGCTTTAGGGTGCGGTTTGAAGAAGTGGTAGTATATCATATGGGGGGGTCATATATATGGCATGGCGAAATACGAGGAACAACAAACTTGATGCGCTACGCTATGGCTACGCTATGCTTTTCTTGTGGTGGTTCGCTTCGCGGAGCCGTCGCTTGGTCTACAACACGTACGGTTTCTGTCCAATACTCCTGAGATGTCTTCATTCCTACTGCATCCGCTCCATTCCCTCCTTCCTCCCTGCCTTCCTTTCCTACGCCTCCTCTACTCTGCGTTCGGCTCGGCGTATTTTATAGCCGCATTTGCCCATGATAACATGTCTCCGGTCTGAGACTCTCATTTGCGAAGGCCGAACGCTTCGGCAAAGGCCTCTTCGGCCATATACATGCCGCCTAGCTCTTTCCTATCGCGTTGTAGCCTAGTCAAGCGTTCTTGTATGATGCTGCTTGGCGATGGAGCGGTTGGCAGGTCCCATGCCGTCTTCGATGAGGCATTTGATCATATTACCGAGTGGGCACTGGCTGTTGGTGGATGTTGCGGAGGTTGTGCTAATCATCCGATCGATGTGAGGATGTTCATGGCGTACTAGAGCGTTGTCTCACTTGGTAGCACGCTTGTCGGCTTTCTTTTGAATGCGTCTTAGGACGTACTCCTCAAGTGTCTGATCCTTCGCTGCTGCGCGTGTCTTGTACTCTGCCATCTCCGAAGGCTTCAACTTGGCGAGTTTTGCGGCCACAACAGCCTGTTCCTTGCCTTCAACCTTTGCAGAGACGGCCTTTGCCTTCTTGCCACCACCAGACACATCTTTGCCATCTCGCTTGCGCTTCTTGTCCTTGACGGTCTTGTTTGAAGTCTGTGCTGGAGTCTCAGTATCGGATGCAGATGTGGGAGGCGTGCTGGCGCCAGACGCTGGGATCGATGCGTCCGTGGTCGTCGCTGACTCATCTTCGATCGTGCCCGCAATTGCTTCGCCCTTTACGAAGAAGCCGTAAAGACCGCCGCGATTAATGCCTTGGGTGCGAATCTGGCTGAGCGTGCTCTGGGGCGATAGTTAGTCTTGGTCCGTTCCGCTTGCTTGCATTCGTGTGTTCCATAGCGTACTTCTTTTCCCGTCCCGATACTCTGTAGGCTCTGGTCAAACGCCCGCATCCACCATTGATCATCTGTCGTATGCGCGGCCTTCTTCTTGCCGAGTCCCATCTGATCTTGCTTGTGAGTGATGAGTAGAGGCTTCTTGATGCCACGGCCCGTCGTATCGAGGGAGTGGCCTGAGCCTTTCCAGCCCTGCTTACGCAGGTACGCGTCGGCATTCATCGTTCTGGTGAGGTGTGAGGAAGTTCCGGACTTCGAGACACAAATTTTGGTGGAGCCCTGGCACTCGGCAAAACTCCGGCGCGGGGCGCGCCGCTAACTAACTACTCCACTGGCAGACCTCCGTGAGACCCTACTTAACCCTTGAAACCTAGAGTTCCTGAAAAGATCTCGTGATACTTACTATTGTCCCGAAGTCGGTGAACGGTGGCTTTAGCCAATAAGGTGATGGCGAAGAACTTGATCATCTGTACCGAATGAATGACTTCAGGCCTAACACTCAGTAATAGCCTGGAGTAATCTCGTTCGCTAATGCTAAGATTCACAGTCAACCAATCCGAGTAAACCGCTTTATAGTACTGACTTGAGTCTCTAATTCTTGGGAGAATGAGTAATCTCTGTGGGAGGAGTCACGTTGTTGACTCTTTCCCTGATCACTCGCCTCGTGCCTCTTCTATCAGGGCTTAAATTCTGCGATAATAGTCACTCTTTCCCTAGCTTGGTCTTCTCTCACTCACTCATGCTTTAGTTCCCCTCTTTCTCTTCTCTCTCAACCATTTCAACATCTTTCTGGTTAACTGTGGCTCTCTCTTACACGTCAGTTTAGCAACTGCATTTCCCTTGTCACTGCTCATAGCATACAGCCATCATGAAGTGCACGGAGTTTCTTTGCTTCCTCATCTGTCTTGTCGATGCGATCGGCTCTCGTGTTGAGGCTAAGAACGTTGCTGTCAACTATCCAGGTATCCAATTTAGTAAAGACGGGAAGCTCTCAATCACCGTCTTCAGTGACCTGCACTTTGGAGAGCGTCAGTCGACCTTTTCCGTCTTGCAACGACTAAATATACCTAACCGTGACTAGCTGAACAGGCGCAAGGTCGTCGCGATGCAGACATCAAGACTATTGGCGTCATGAATAATGTCCTCGACAGCGAACATCCCAACATGGTAGTCCTCAATGGCGATCTTGTGTCCTGTGAGTGGGTAGCTCCAGAGAACCTCAATTCTCTCATCGATCAGATCGTTGCCCCACTTATCGAGCGCAATCTACCCATTGCTGCAACATTCGGTAATCACGACGCATCGAAAACCTGCAGCACCCGACTCATGTCTGAGTATATGTGGACCATCAAGGGCACAAATGGAAAGAAGCTCTCATTTACGACATCATCTGTGCCCGGAGAGCCTGATCAGGTCGGCACGAGCAACTATTTCGTGCCCGTATACAGTTCCTCCGATGGCAGCAAGCTTGCGATGCTCCTCTGGTTCTTCGATAGTAGAGGTGGCCGTATATATCAGCCTAGTGGTATTGATATTCCTGTTGACGACTGGGTCGACGACGCAGTAAGAAGCCTCCGTGCTTATGTTGGAATATACTGACTCCATAGGTTGTCGCATGGTTCCGTCAAACAAACGATCAACTCCGCGAGCAGGTTGGCCATGACATCCCCAGTTTGGCCTTCGTTCATATCCCAGTACATGCGACACTTTCCTTTCAGCAGAATGGCGGTCGTACTGGTACTAATGAGCCAGGCCTTAACGAGGAGGAAGTTGGGAATCAAGGGGATGTATGCGATAGCAATGGTGACCATTGCAACTACAATGGCGCCGACACACCTTTCATGAAGGCGCTTATCGATATTGGAGTGATGGCTGTCTTCTCTGGCCATGATCACGGGATTGAGTACGTCTTCATGTGGTCCTATATCCCTCACCACGTTCAACCCGACTAACATCCGCACAGCTGGTGCATGAAGTGGTCCAAGAATCTTGCCAATGACCCAGCTAATGGTAACGGCATCAATCTTTGTTTCAATCGGCATTCGGGCTACGGCGGATACACGGATTGGAAACGAGGTGCACGTCAAATTGTCATCGAGGAGGACAAATTGGGCAAAAACGAGCTCGAGACCTGGATCAGATTGGAAGATGGAAGAATTTCCGGACATGTCACCCTCAACTCCACTTACGGCGCTGACCATTACCCGAGCGTGGACAAGTCGAAGACCTTCGTCTCGTAGCTTGAGCCGAAGCCTGCTACGGTGCTTGTTCAACAAGCTTCCAGCGTGTCGAAAACCAAGTCCAAGCCATCGCTGACATCGAAGACCAAACCACGTTCGACGACGACTACACGACCAAATACGACAAAGTTTACAACAACATCTACCAAAAGAAAATTAACCAGCAAGCCGGCAGCACCTGTGATTTCGAGCAGACCTATGCATACAAGCAAGAGTCAGGCGTGAACGGCAGCTTTTGCCATAGATGGGTTTCATGATCTATGGTGAAAACCACGCGCATGGTCTTTTCTACATATCCGTTTATCTCCTGCATACATACGGCATACGTTTACAGCTTCCAAGTAGCTCAATCTAACAAAGAAAGTCTTCTCTTCCATACCTGGCCGCACCCTTATTTATTGGCTAGACCAATGAACTTGAAACTGAACTGCTAAATCTAATCCACATAAGCAAAATGTTGTAACGAGTTGTTCTACCAATGCCGTCAAATTCTAATGCTCGCTAACTTACATCCCGCCCAAACTGACACTAACAACCCACCAATTCCCCACACATCTCAACAAAAAAACGTTTGCCCACCCCACCCGCAGCCAAAAAGAAAATCGTAGTTGTTCTCCGCTCCCAGAATCGAACTAGGGACCTTTCGATAACAATGTGCTATTACAGTCGAACGTGATACTAATATCATGTTAGTGGGTGTGAAATATGCGATAAAGGATGGGTGAGAACATACAACCAACTACACCAAGCGGAGTATTGCGACGAAGGTCGCGCTTGTTGTTTTGATGACTAATTTTGAGTTATTAGGTATATATATTTATAGATGTTAGTAGCGTCTTTGTGTGGGCGCTAACTTGTGATTATGTGGAACGTCTTAGTTAACGTTACCGATGTGGATGCGAGCGGGGCATGTATGGTCAACGTCGGGTGTGCACGGCGGACATCACATTTATTTGCACCAGCTAGGAGTACGGTCAAACGACTGCCTACTAGTCTGCTAATAATTATTACCACCCGTCCATGTTAAAGACTTACACAGGTAATGTCTACAAAGCTAGCTAGGGGTCCACACCGTATACAGCTATCGACGATGAGTCGAGCAAGTGCAACTTGTCACTTCCGGCACGATGTTCATCATGCATCAAGTTTCTTGTATTAAATAAGTACAGGAGTTTAAACAAAGCGCAAACACTGGGTAAGTTACAATCGGTTTACTGCTTCTGGCCATGACCCACGAGATCGCACATTTTGGGTTCTGTTCTTCTTTGAGGAGAACACATGACCTTGAATATGGGTCGAAGCTCCTCGAAGAGGCTCTACAGAAACACCTCATCTGCATGAGCTGGAAGTCTTGGACGCCTAACCTGAGCTGAAGCACGCCAGCCCCAGAACGGAGAATGGAGAACTAGTGCTTATTTCTCCAATGAATCACTCGCACAACGGCGCCTGGGATACATATGTACAAAGCTGATAACACCTTGCTTGTGTATGGGTGGAGATATAAACATCCTACAGACGCATTTAAGCACAACACTATCCATTGTACCGTCCGCCATCATCCTCCGTCCTCTCAGTATGGCAAACTCGAAGCCGATTGTGCTCATCATAGGTGGCGGATGGCACACAAAGAAGAGCTACAGCAAGCTCGCTGCTGCGCTCGAGGCTTCTGGGTTCGAAGTTCACGTCCCGGGGCATCCTTCTATGAATGGGTCGCAACCGCCAAATGCCGATCTCGACACCGACTCAGCTCACATTCGTTCATATGCTGAGGATCTCCTGAAAGATGGTCGCAAAGTCATCGCGCTCATGCACTCATACGGCGGACAAGTCGGCACCAACGCCCTTCATGGCCTTGCATTGAAAGATCGGGCAAAGTTAGAACTCAATGGCGGCATCTCGAACCTGATTTATATGACCGCCTGTACCCTTCCAGAAGGCAAGGCCATGATAGATATGGTCAAGTATCACGGCCACGAAGAGCTCATGCCGTTAGCTTTCGACTTCGCAGATGACATGACGTGTGTCAGCCGCGACCCAAAGACGCTTCTCATCGGCGCGGACTCTGGAGTATCCGACCAAGAATTGGAAGAGTATTTGTCGACTCTGGTACGATGGAATGGACAGTGCATGTACGATGCCATGACTACAGATCGTGCAGCATGGAGAGACATTCCGACGACGTATGTTTATACCACAAAAGACATGACTATTCCACTGGCCTATCAGAAGTGGCTTGTTGAAGAGATAAGGAAAGAGGGCGTGGAGGTGCAGACGGCGACTGTGGAGACGGGCCATTGTCCCAATCTGAGCGCAGCTGGTGAGATTGCTGGCATTGTGGAAAGGGTTGCTAAGGGGGGAATTCTGGACACGCAGAGGGAGAGAGAGGGAGAGACAAGAAGTAAAGACGATGTCAAAGATGCTATATTGGGCGTTGACGCTGCTGCAAAGCGATGAGAGTATGGAGATGAATTCAGCGATGTGTACATTTCATATTGGAATAATTCGGATGATGAATGGTTCAACAGTCCGATCACCGATGTAGTGATAAGACAATCTCGAATCTGAGACTCACAAGTATATCCATAATGAGATTTAGAGAGTTCATGATCTCTGTTCTACTTGAATGTTGAGACCTCGGCACAGCTTGATGGATGTCTCTTAGCGTCATGGCGTAAAACGTCAATTATTTGAGGACCTGAGCTTTTTCCAAGGTGAACAGTATCATCACATCGGTATTGCTTTAGTGTGAGTATACACTGATTTCTTCTTTTATAGGTCGCATGGGTTTTTCAAAACAAAACCTCGGAACCGAACGTTCCTCTCCACATCCCGACCCCGCCTGCCGTTGCTTCCCGACGTCACCTTTCCCCGCAGAGGCTCACAGCTTACTTCGTACGAGCCTATTCATGCCCGTGAGATATATTTGTGATTACTTATAGATATATGACATGGGAAACACACAACTTTGGTCAGAGCTCTCTTTTTTCTCTTCTTTCCCTTATTTTGGAACTCGACTGGACTTGCTTTGGGGAATAAAAAATGCATCCCACAATTATTGTAGCTGCGGCTGCAGTCGTGCTCCTAGCACGTGTTCTACTTCCTTTCCTGAAGGGTATTTCTTCGCCTTTGAGATCTATTCCAGGACCAATCGGGGCAAGATTCACTGATTCATGGTATCTTTGGCGTGTAAAGAAAGGTCGATTTGAATTTGACAACATTGATTTACATCGCAAATATGGTATAACATCCACCCTCAACATATCCAGGCACCATCCATATTCAATTCAAACACCTCTCTTGGAATGTCTACTTCGACCATTTCTGACCAATGCATCACAGGAGAAATCATCCGCTACGGCCCAAACCGCTACTCCATCTCCTCGCCCACGGCCCAAAAAACAATCTACGGCCACGGCGCCAAATTCCCAAAATCCCCTTGGTACAAAACATGGAGCAATCCGCACCCAGACCAATGGTCCCTCTTCGCAGACCAATCCATAACCCGCCACAGCGAGAACCGGCGCCAATACCAAAGCGCATACACCATGTCCTCCCTCATCCACTACGAGTCCTACGTCGACGAGTGCGCCGACCTGTTCAGCCAGCGCCTCAAAGAAGTTGCGCACGCAGGCGTCTTCACAGACATGGGACACTGGCTCCAATGCTATGCCTTCGACGTCATCGGCCTAATCACTTATTCGAAGAGACTGGGCTTCCTGGATGCGGGCGATGATATTAGCGGAGTTATCGCCGCGCTGGAAGATCACTTGCAGTACGCCACGCTCGTGGGAATCTACTCATGGCTGCATCCGTATCTGTTTGCAGTGAGGAACTGGCTTGCGGGCAGTGGGGGGACGGGGAGAGCGTATGTGATGAAGTTTACGCAGGAGAGGATTGCGGAGCATCAGAGGGAGCAGCGGAAGGGCATACCTCTGCACGACGATGGTAGTGATGCAGGGATACCGACGACGACGACGATGGACTTTCTAACAAAGTTCTTCAGCAAGAATGCGCAGGATCCACAAGCTTTTACTATGTATCACTTAGCTTCGGGTTGTGTATCGAACATGGTAGCGGGCTCCGACACCACTGCGATAAGTCTATCCGCGATACTATACTACCTGCTAAAGAACCAGTGCACGTTCGACACGCTGCGTCAGGAGGTCGATGCGTTGACGTTACAACAACAGCGGGGAGAAGGCAGGATTTCGAGGACCACCATCTCGTTCAAGGAGAGCCAGGAGATGCCGTATCTGCAGGCCGTGATGAAAGAGGCGCTGCGCATGCATCCTGCAACGGGGCTTCCGCTTGAGCGGGTGGTTCCTCCTGGTGGGGCGACGATTTGCGATCGGTACTTTCCTGAGGGCGTGAGTAGAATAAAAGGCCTGTTCCGTTGATGGTGTGATTTTGAGCTAAATGAATGTAGACTATCGTTGGTATAAACACCTGGGTTGCTCATAGAGATCCCGATATCTTTGGGGTTGATGCAAACGAGTTCAAGCCTGAGCGCTGGCTTATCGACGACAAAGAGAAATTAAGCTTCATGGAGCGGAATTGGATGCCAGTATGTTCTAATCCTCTGTCAGTCACTCTTCTTCTACCCTCTAACCTTTTCTGTAGTTTGGCCTTGGTTCAAGAACGTGCATTGGACGACACATTTCGCTCCTGGAGATGTCCAAGTTGATCCCCGTGCTTGTGCGGGATTTTGACTTTGAGTTAGATGGGAAGTTAGCGGCGAGAGGATGGGAGACGACGAATTACTGGTTTGTTAAACCAAGGGATTTCAGGGTGAAGGTTTCGGTGAGGACGAAAAGCGGGTAGTTGAGAATATATTCATGTCAGGCTCGGTACCGTTCAAATCGTTAAATTTTGGATCTGTTTCATGTCTATTTTTGTGTGTGTATTCGTTAAGTTAGGGGTTCTCAAGCGCTCGACATCTCCATATCGATCGCTCATAACATCCTGTTCCCATCAGTAAGCAAACGCTATGCATCCCAAGATCATCGCCCTCCAATCCAACGACACATCCTTGACTACAGGTCTTGAAATTTCCCTCCCTACTCCTCAACCGCCAACACCTTCGGAATCTCCTTTTCCAAATACTCCTCAGCAGCCTTCCACCCCCGCCCCAGCCTCTCCTGAAACTCCTCAAGATCCGTCAACCGCAGCCCAGGTAAATGCAACAAAATTTTATTCACGAAATCCTCACAGTCCCCTCCTTCACGCGTAACAGCCGCCCACGCGGCCTGATAGATGGCGGACTTGTACGTATATCTTCCATCCGCACACGCCTCTTTCATTGCGTCTGCGTAGATGCGGCGGTAATGATCTACCGTCCACGCCATGTATGGTGGGTCAGTGAGTGTGAAGCCCGGGTGCCAGTCGTGGGTGAGGAAGTAGGGGAGTGCGGAAAACCCGATACAGCGGGGGGCCGTGGTAGCTTCGTGCCAGTCGAGGATGCCGGTTACATTTCCGTCATTGTCGACGAGGATGTTTTGGAGGTCGAGATCGGGGTGGCGGATGACGAAGGTTTCGTGGTCGGAGGTGGTGGCATGGGGTTTGGATGTGAAAGCGTCGCAGCCGAAGATGATGTCGAGGATTTTGCGGAGAGCAAGGGCTCGATGGAAATACATTTCGCTCTCTGCCTTTTCTGCATCACTCGAGTTTTCAAGGGTGATGTCAGCGATGGTTAGGTTGGCCGGGTACTTTTCCTCCAGATTGCTAAGGAGGGCATCGCGGGTTGAAAGATTTGGT